TTTAATGATTTGAAATAATTAGATTCATTTTTAATGCTAGAGGTGACCTCAAAGGCCATTCAGTACAATCCTTTTTAAATGGGAATGCTGAAGCTCAAGTATTATAAATTATATGACTTAGGTATCATATCCCCACACCCAGGTGGCTAGTTAGTGGCTAAGAGGAAGGGACGAATAGAATGGAAAACGGTAAGAATGGGTAAGCAATTCTCTCTTTTTTTTTTTTCTCATCATACTCATTTAACCTTGTTTATCGTATTCTAGGTGGGAAAACTAGTTTCCCATATGGTCCTACCTATATTCTTTTTCCACTCCCATTGCCTAGAGACAAAGAAATGAAGATGGGGAAGAGGTTGTATAGTGAGGTTAAAAGCCCCCTAGTTAGTCTAGACTTTAATTATTTATCTCTTACATTCTTCCCACGACTAGAAGCATTTCCCAATTTATACGTATTTTAGGTTCCAAAAGATTTGTTAGCTGTTTGGAGTAATTTGGAACACTTAGGAGGGATAGATTCCCTAATAAGTGTACAAAATTCTGGTGTATTAATTATGGTATGAGCAACTAAAGAAATGGAAATGACAAATACATTTGTAACTTTATTTTGAATTATGGTCTTAGAAAATAACAGTTAACCCACCTTTGTAATTTCTTCCCTTGCATAGCATGAGTGCTTAAGCAGGAATCCATTGACAAATCCAAATGTCCCAAAATTGTATGTACTTGCTATTAAATGGGAACTAACTGATGAGCACACATGTGCATATAGGGAAGTAAAACTCAATGGAAATCAAGCAGGGGGAAGAGGGGAGAAGGGGATGGGTGAAAACCTACCTAATGGGTACAATGAACACTATGTGGGTGATGAGCACACTTTTAACTCTGACTCAGGCTTTACAAAAGCGATCTATGTAACCATAAACATTTGTACCCCCGTAATAGTTTGAAATAAAAAATGTATGTAAATTCTATTTACAGTTATGGGTAGGTATTTGTCTGGGTAGAAGTTGAATAGTTCTCATCAGATTCTCAAAGGTGTCTGTGATCCAGAGAAGGTGAAGAACTGCTATACTAATGATTTCCAATGCTGTTGGGATAAATTGAATTCCTCAACAGCCAAGGCCTTATGCAAATTCATCCAGATTCTTTCTCCTAACCTTATCTCCCACTAGTCCATACTTGGAATCTCCTAATGGAGCCAGGCCTGTGAGGTCTTGATTACCTGAGCATGTTTTGCTTTTTTCTTCCCTAAAAACTTTGATTCTCAAATATTCACACAACATAGAATTCTGTTCTCAAATACTTAATTGAAACCCAAGCCACTATTTAAGATCCCCTTTAGCCTCCAAAAATGTTCTTGACCTCTTCAGATTTTAAAATACCTTTTATCTTATTATCTGTGTTTTTTCACATTTAACTTTTAAATGAGATTTTAATTAACTTATTATGGCTTCTTCATTTTCTTCCTTATTAGATTTAAAATCCATATATGAAGTGCCTCTTACACTCCTTTGTGTTTTCTCTATTATCAAGTAAAATGATATTTGTATAGTATGTACTCATCTGTTCTCTCATGCAGTTGATAAATATTTATTGAACCCCTATATGTGCCAGGCTGGCTTTCTAGCAGTGAACAAATCTGTCAAAAAATATTCTATATTCTACATTCTAGTGGAGGAGATAGATAAAGAGATAAGTTTACCTAAATTACATAATATGTTAAATAGTAGTAAATGCTAACGAGAATACTATAAAGCAGTTCAGGTGAAAGAAAATAAATATGTGTAAGTTTGATTTGGGGCATGCAATTTTAGATAGGGATTGGGCGAGAAAGGACTCATCAGTAATGTGATTTTTGAGTAAAGACTCTAAGGAAGTGGAGGAGTGAGCCACGTCCATGTCTGGGAGAAGAGAACTCCAACAAATGCAAATGTAGGAAACTATCTATCCTGTTCGTGGAATTTGAAGAGAGAGGCAAGAAATAAAATCAGAGAGTTAATAGGGAGCCAGACCATGTTAAATATGTGATTTTTACTCTCCCTATAGCAGGGATTTGAGAAGACAGATATCAGAAAACATATTTTAATAGATCACTCCAGCAGCTCTCTTGAACACTGCTTAACAAGGTCAAGAGCAAGAGAAGGGGGAGCAATTAGGAGGCTATTGCAATATTCTATGCAAGATAAAATGGTATTTTGGACTGGAGTGATGGCAGTGAGGATAATGAGAAGTGGTCAAATTCTGGTCAAATATTTTGAATGAAGTGTTGTGTGGGAGTAAAAGAATTATCAAGTATGACTCCAAGGATTTTCATCTGAGTAACTGCAAGTCTGAACTTGTCATTCATTGCTGAAGAAGGGAGAACTGCAAGAGAAGTCAACGGGTTTTGGGGAGTGTGATGAGGGTACATGTTAGAAGCTCAGTTTGGGACACTCGAGGCTTGTGATGATTAAGTGGAGATATTAAGTAGGCAGATAAATCTAGAGTTTAGAGTTCAGGGAAGAGGTCTGGGTTAGGCTTATACAATTGAGAATTACCAGTAAGTGGCTGGCACTCAAATCCATGAGATTGGATGAGATCAATACATTTTTGTGGCTTGAATAAGGTAGAATAATTCTTTGTTTTATTTAGGATTTTCTCCCCCCATCTTTATTGAGGTGTAATTGACAAATAAAATTACATATATTTAAAGTGTACACCATCAGAATTTTCAATTAAAATTGTGACTTGTTTCTATGGGAAATGTTATTGAGGGGTAATGAAGAGTAACATTCAACTTTTAAGGACTATGGGCATGGGTTGTCAATCAAAATTCAGAATTGAAGTGAATCCCATGGAACATTCTTGATTGATTTATATTTGTCTTTGTGTATGTGTTTCAGGCCAGACTTGTTTGATTGGAATAGTGTGGTCTGCCAGCAGTCAGCCACACAACGACTGGAACATGCATTCAACATTGCAAAATATCAATTAGGCATAGAAAAACTACTTGATCCTGAAGGTTGGTACATTTTTGGACTACTACCATTTTTAATATAATTTAATGCTTTTTATCTCAGACTCGACATTTCCACATGCTAAACACAAGATATAAACTATGTATCTTATCTTTCCCTATATTTTACATATATTTAAAATGTTGCCTTCTTGCAGTATCATGAATAGTCCTATTTGATTTTAGCAACAAGCCTTTAGAATGTATGTATCTCATGGATGAAACATACTTCATTTGGAGTACATTGACTCCAAATAATTATAAAAAGTTAATGTTTTTCTTATTCTACCAAGCAATTTGATAGACTAATCAGCTATAATTAATTAGCTACTCTAGCCAATTTCATTCATATACTCTAAAAGGCAACATGGTTTACTATTTAATCAGGAACTCTATTCTTGGCACTATTTCTAATATAATTTGTCATTCTGGGGAGATCCTCCATTGGGTGGTTATTTCATTTTTTGCTCCTTTAGTTGACAGGAAGCACTTTATTTATATTTTTATTATATTACACTTAAGTAACTTTGATCCTTATCTCTGGTGCTACATAGGCATACCTTCCAGATATGTAGATTATAGGGATAATGACATTCTGACTTCTACTCTTCTAGCCTATGAGGCATGTTTTCTCGTGTACCAATTTTGAAACTGCAGGCTCTGTTCTCACTTTCTTTTAAAGCTTTACCACACTGTGAAAAGAGAAGTTGGAGAAGCAGACTTAGTGCAATTGATGTCTGCAATATAATGGAAGCTGATATTTTGGTAGAAGCTGATAATTCAATGATCTTTGGAATTCCAAAACAGGAGATCCTTGAGTAGTTGTGGTAGGTCCCATCAGGAAAATCTCAGAAATCACTCTGAAGATAGCCTTTTGCTGGTGAATTTTTTATCAACCAGAATTTTATTCTCAGTATTGCAGACCCAGAAGCCTGATTGCCTCAGATCATCTAGCAAATCCATATTGAAGGGAGGGGGAGTTAACTTTAAAGATGCTTAAAAAATGATATAAATCAAAACGAAAATTGAGTGATTTTAGATGAGATTTTTATCATAAGAACAAGAGTGCTCCTATCTAATTGACCAATATATTGTTCTTGGTAAGCAAATGTACTTGGAAAGGCAAATTATAACAACACAAATGTGACATTTGAGGTTGGAATCAGATTAAGTTTATTAGAAACATTTCTTCCCTTTGGATAATGCATGGCTGAGCACTGACTCCTATAACCTCTTCTTGTTGCTTCTATAAATTATCAACATCCCTCTGTCCCAGTTTTTAGCTCTAAGGTAGAAATCATTTCAATCATATGTCCTTATTTTGTGTGATAGGGGAGGGTTACCTCACTATTTATTCCTAGTCTAGATTCATGTGTTTTCTCTTACTCCAGTGAGGTAGAGAGGGCAGGTCCAATGACAATATGGATTCCAACCCCTGTGGATAAGATCTATAGTATATAAATTTAAAGTATAAGCCTGTTAATATGTTTTTTTAATTATTAAATCCACATGTGGTGATCAGTTCCTGTTATCTGGACTTCATACTCAATTTATCCTGTGGGTGTTCTATCCTCTCTAAAATAGTAGGAGTAGGTAAAATAGATCTTTTTCTTATTAAGTGATAAAATGGTTTCCAAGTCTTCCTTCGAATCAATGAAATAGGGGTACCTAGATAGGCATCCACATCATAATCAGAGTGATTGATAAGCCTGTAATTGGAGAAAGGCAGTTACATGAATAATAGATTTTACAGTATAAAACAGTCTTATATACCTAACTTCATATGCTCGCTTAAATGGAAAGTGCATGTCTAAACGTACATTGTATCACTGATAGGAGCATCATTATACTGTCTCAAACTTGAACAATTCAAAATAAACCAAATATAATATGAAATACTAGCTGATTAATAGAGACTCAACCACTGATTATGGTCTCATTTTGCCAATAAAATCTTAGATCTGAAAACCCTTTCTATTTATGGACTGCTTCCAACTGAAAGAGCATTCTGTCTCCTAAAAAGGTTTATTAAGTTTACTTATGGCTGTCAATAAGATGAGCATTCAGCATAAATCTTGTGTCATATTTTTAAATATCTGTCAGTGTCTGCCAGTGTGTTAGGGAAATCCCAAATATGCATTTATAAATTTTTGCTCAATATTTTTCAAAAGATATCAATGATGATTGAAAGAAAAAATAAATATCAACTAAATCATA